TCTAAAAAGAATATCATAGGCTTCCCATAGATCATGCGAACCAAGGTTGCTGGTAGTGTCAAGCATCGGAGAGCATGAAAGATAGAAACCCCAGGACTGACAAAGAGTCTCCATCATTAGACGAGTCTTCCCTGAGCCAGCACTGTTGACAAAAATCCTGAAATAATGGCCCGTCAATGGGATATATGTAATTCAGCCGAAACGTCTTGAACTCACTTATGATCATGGCTAAGAAAGGGCTGAACCCGTGCTTGTAGATCCTTATTATTCTGAAATGAACCCAACTTGTACAGCAATAATTCGGGACGATGAGGATTTTGCGTTAGTGTTGGAAGGCTAAGGTTGGTGAGATGGGGAAGCACATCAGGAGGCAAAGAATTCGGTATTTTCCAAGACTGGAATGTGATTTCTCCCTCGACGACCTTTTTGATTTCGCCATCTAGCTGGTCCAAGAAAGCCCGCGTAGTGACTTGAAAGCGATAAAATTTTAGTTCGGACAGCCCCAGAACCTCATTTCGAAGAACGGCTTACCATCCTGAAGGACCAAAACAGGATCCGAGATTTTACTCGCCTTTGAGGACTGCTCAAAGATGTAGCCCACTAAACAAACAAGGCATGGATAAGCAGCATAAAATAAGATCTGTCGGACCCACAGATCAAATACTGGCTGGTCTCGTTAGCCTCATCCATACTATCCAACGCAGACTTAAGCCTATTGATGTTTGCTATTGCTTCCCTGCAGGCAGATATAGACTGATAGGCTGCAACACGGGCGCCAATCATTCGCCACAGTTTTTGCGCAGCTGCTTCGTCAGATTGAAGTTGGCCAGCATCAGTATGTTGAGCAGACTCGGAGGAAGACATCGAGTATTGAAGGGGAGCAAGTTGTTGTTGAACCACGAGCAAGAATCTGTCTTTTTATTAAGTCAGATCAAGTCCTCTGCTCTTGTACTGGCTTGACGACAGGCTCTTGTTCTCCATGGGGCTGACATAAGAAAAAGCGGATTCTAGCCTTTAGAGAAACAAGAAAGCGTGTGAGTATATATATCTGACACATGGGTAAAGGGCGCTTGGACGAAATGCAGCATGGCTCGCATCTGATCTTGACTGAACAAGAACAAGAACTTAACTGGACGCCGGCTATAAGCGGCCCGTCGACGACCGAAGTTACTATTTCTCCGAGTCGGATCTTTCATCCAACTCTCATCTCCCCACCGCTACACGAATACTCCCCTCATTTTGAACATCCTGAGCACCGGTCTAGTTACTGTTCTTTATCTAACATCGACAGGATGGCCCTCACGGTCCATCCATCTCTCTTCAAAGACTATCCTGACATCTCCGACTTCGAAAAAGCGTCACGCTTTTTGCAAGCACTACGCACGTCGATGAAGTTGGAGGATGCGCCGCCATCATTCTTGTCTACAAAATGCATTCAACAGCTTCTCCGGGAAAACCCTATGTACTATGTCAATTTGGAACGCTGCCATGCTCGTGGTAAACTAGATGGGCTTGAAGACACACGTATACTTGCTCCTTTCCTTTCTATTGCCTTCATCGTATACTGACGTACTTAATAGCCTTACTGTGCCCCAATCCTTCTAAACTGGCTTGGAGAGGTAGCCGCTATTTAACAACTATCGAGTCATACTTGGAGCGTCTCCGTCATGGTTCCGACACGTTCTGCAACCCCACTGCTTCATCATTTTGGGCTTTCAACAGCTATAATTTTAGTGCCAAGTACAGCTTCAGATACGCTGACCACATCCAGAGTCTGGAAATACCCCGTCTCGTAAACACCAGCGAGCCTGTCCTTCTTCTTCATGACTTTGGTACATTCTCTAGCAACGCCACACTGAATCACCGTATTGCACGCATCTATCAGAATAACACGAATTCGTGGGTTCTTCTCTCTTCCCACAATTTCCCTAAATTGTTTCACTTGCTTCTGATCTACCACAGCTTCTTTGTCAATGGGTCGGCGTCAGGCAAAACAAGGCTGTTGTTGGAAGGCCTTCATCAAAATTGGGGATTCTATTTTACTGCTGCCGTCGATTCTTCCAAACTAGGATCCAACGACATCTCAACGATGATGATCGATTTCGAGATGGAGGGTGTGTTCAACAGAATCCTTCCACCAAAGGAGGATCCCACTTTTGAAATCTGCTTGGATCTTAATGCCCGCTTCACCTACCGATACTTCAGTGTGGTACTCCTCGCTCGTTTGGTCGTCTTCAAAAGGTTCTTGGAAGCCGCGTCGGGGAAACCTGATGATGGAATGCGACATCGCTGGCTTCTCGCACAGCTCCATCCACATCTTCTTCAGTTATCCAATGGACCTAAACGCGACCCATTCGATGAGTTGCGAGACATTATGCAAGAATGGGTTGTCCCCACCGAATTCTTTGATGAAGCAATCCGCGAAACCTTGGACTCCATCTTTTCTCTTTTCCCCACAACTCCGGGAACACCACTCTTCATCGTGATCGATGAGGGCAATGTCCTCGCGGATGGCGGAAAATACACTTTCTCTGATGCATTTGGGGACGGCCGACCAATCCTCAAGGAGTTGTTGACGACTTGGCAACATCATGTACAGGCTTACGATGTCACTTTTATCGTTGCTGGTACCGAAATTCCGCGGAAACACTTCCAAGGTGATCAGTGGAGCAACTACCAGTGGAGTTCAGATTCGGGCGACTTCGGCACTCCCGAACTACAGAGACAATACGTATCTAAATTCTTGCCACCATCCATAGCGTCGAGTCCTTCTGGCGAGGAGCTACAGTTGTGGATGTGGAGATGGTTTCGCGGGAGGTTAGTGTCTCCGACTTTGTCTTGAAGAACCGTATGCGATGATACGAACTTTTAGGCATAGATTTACGGCTTCAGTGATTTCCCAGCTGCTTGCCACCGATTTCCAAAGTCCCCACCGCCTCCTTGACTTCCTTGTCTGGTTAAGTACCGGTTATGAACCTCGCGATGGCGAAGCGTACAGTCGTGCAGAAGAGTCCAGGGACTTTGAGCGTCGTTACTTGCCGATGAAAATGCCGGACCCAAAACATTGTAAGCCTCATCAAGTGGCTCCTCCTCTCGGCGAAGATTTAATCTTTATGCATAGATCCTTCCGTCAAGGCTGCTGTCCATGATGCTTTGATCCACTGTCTCGTTACTCTTGATCATCGTTTGGTCTTTGGGATTGATCGAGTCGACGCCGTTTCTCGAGGTGTTGGACGGTTTATTGATGCCAACATGGAACAGATTGTCATCGACGAGCCTCTCTGCCTCGTAACGTGTGCTCAATGGTTTGCCGACAAGAAGAGATCTCTCACAGACATCGATTTCTATCTATCTGCGGATACAAGCTACCAGTGCCCTCTTTCTGCCACCTGTTTCGTAGCGCTTTGTTTAGCTCACGTCTTTTCCTAGCCTCGAGCTGTAGCGGATGTCCTCTCTTTTCCAGGTACACGACCAGACTGGGCTAACCAAACTGCGAGTCTCGTGGATTTTGCGTCAACCAATTCCGGCGAGAAGGAGATTGGCATATCTAAATATATTCCTGGCACCTCTCGACGTCTGGCTTCCGTTGCCGAAACGCAGGCCGATACACTCGCTTGGTTGAAAGACGAGCATAGGAGCGTGTTTTGTATTCATTCTGCTAGCTCTACAAGCCCGACTCTGTTATTTAGTCTAAAGCTCGCAGATGAGTCTCTCCTTTGGCTTTTCTTGCATGTCCATCTTGATGGAAAGACGGAAGAACTGGTGCCTGAAGCCGAGCTCCAGGACATGTTGGAGGCCCTACAACCTGAAAATCTCTTCGACCAACTCGTGAGTTTTTGCGCTGTCAATGTTGGCACATTATTGATGTCACCCAGGCCGACGAAAGAACAGGGATTGATGGATCTTTGCCCACAGATGTGGCTCCCCCTCCTTCCACTGCCAAGTCCGACTCGTCTGATCCTCCCAAAAAGTCTGAAGCACCAGATGACTTTCTTAAACTGCTCGAGGGCCTTCCTAACAGGAACCAGGGTGTGGCCGCGTACAGTGTTCTGCGCGTGGTTGCTTCGCTGCGCTCTGATGCCAAGCTTGACCGCCTGGATGTTAATCCCGATCACCCCATCGCTGAGCTTAATACTCGGTTTGTGCAGAGTATAACTGAGAAATTCTCTGCGAAGGATATTCTTGAAGATGTTGTAGCGAATGCGACATACGTTGGGGGATATGCGAGAGTGAAAAGGAAGAGTATTGATGAGGGGCCTACTTTGAAGCGTCGGCGGTCAGCATCCTCATTTTGTTGAGAGTGTCCAGGCAGTTGATGAATTATCAGTGTATTATAACTTTGAAGCAGGAGAATATCTACTGCCGTAACTTAATTGCATGTCTATTGTCACAAATTTTGCATACCCGCGTCGCTGAGTAGTATATATCACTCGATTCAAAAAAATTATGGCTGCCTTGATGGGGGAATAGTATAATTTGAGGGAATCGAGATTTTCCAATGAAGTTGACACGTACATAATTCAATGGATCCGATTATGGGAGTCGACAGTCGACCTCCTCAACCAAGCATGACTTCAACATAAATGAACTCAGATATCGAGCTTCGGACAGCCTCGATAGTTCTTAGCCGCCGTGGAAAACAGAAAGACTATATCCCATAAGAAAACAAGGATAGTGTGCGAGAAATCTCTTAGAACACATGGGTCTCATGCGTCAACAAGAGTTTCAGCAAGACTCGGAGTTAATGTATCTGATATCTGACGGTTGTTGATCAGAACGAGCATGCAACAGAAGTGTCCGACTTGTCCACTGCTGTTGCCGGTCCGCGACTCATCTGATCCTCTCAAAGAGTCTGAAGTACCGGATGACTTTCTTAAACTTCTCGAGGGTCTTTCTAACAGGAACCAGGGTGTGAGCGCGTACCAGCGTTCTGCGCGTGGTTGCTCCGCTGCGTGGTGATGCCAAGGTCGACCGCCTGGATGCTAATACTGAAATAATATGACGAAAGAGTGGAATATATTGCAATATCAACCGTCGCAATTCGCTGAATAGATTTGATTGCTTTGGTTTACCCTGCGTTACTGTTACCCATAGAAGAGACTTGTATGTGCATAAATTCCCGTGCGGAATACTAATAGGCGACGACGCCACAGTACCTCGTCGAATGATCTGGGACAGACAGCGCTTGAAGCAAAAATTGAGTATCATACACACTTTTTATCCCAGACTAAGCAGGACAAGGATAGCTCCATTAATGTTGTAAGTAAATGTGCTAGCATGAAGATGGTAAGGATGTGTATTCCGTAGACAGCTATTCATACAGTCAATCACTGCCATGATCTGATACGTCATTCACTCACAACATACACATCACTTTCGCCTTCTCTTTGCTTGCTTTTTCGGTGCTGAGAGGGATTCAGGTAGCCACTCATTCACTGGCTCCGCCGGCGGAGATGTCGGTTTCGTAGGAGCCGCGGAGGATGGCGGTCCGTTCTCAGCCTCTCGTTCCGCACGCGCAATAGACGCCGCAATTTCTTCAGGACTGACTTCTTCTCCCCTCTGTATCCGTGCGGCAATGTCTGGTGTTACACGGACACGTCGTACACCAGTCTGGAATCCCGGTGCTAGTAAGAGATTATTGGTCGTGGCAAAGACAGAGTAACCCAGAGTACGAACCCCCTTTCCCAATGCCGTGAACCTTGAGCTTACGAGCTAGGTACCATTTGCGCGCAAAATATGCCGACACGAGAAGAACAGAAGGGACACTGCCGGAGGTTATTTACAAAATGTTGGGGGGTAGTGCGACGCACGCTATCCAGAGAAGTGAAGGGTAGTCGTCGACGTCTGGTACTGAGGACGTCCTTCTCGACATGTTGTACGATGCAGTGACCAGTCAAGGAAAGGACGGCAAGGACGTGGTGGGAATTTCATGAACGGAGGCCGGCCCGATAGTTGTCACGTTTATCACGTGTAGTGCGTGGCAAACTTCGCAAATTTCTGGTGCTCGACGTTCATTCAGGTTTCTCTTTTCGCTGTTCAGGGCACGGAACAACCCCCTTCTCCTCCTCAAATAAAGCCTGAATTCTCTCGTTGTTCGATCAACATGGCTACAAATTTCGAGGAGCTGAACACGAACATTCCTCGTGCAGCGTTGAAGGCCACGAGAAATGCCGCTCTCTTACCCCCAGATCTCGCCTTTCACAAATCAATGGACCCCAGTTTTGCAAAAGACATAGACGTATTCTCCTCCAAGGTGTTATTCTTGACGAATCGGTTACTCGAGCTGGCGGCAACCATTGATACTCCAGGGAAAGGAAAAGGAAAAGTTCGGAGTGAAGATGATATTTTGGATAGCTTTGAGACGCTTATCGTCGACCGTATGGACCAACTGCTGGAGCGTGTTGTGAGTTCCTACCATGTATGCTTCTGTGGTAGTATAATGACATTCTTTCAGGACACCTCACTGGATGAGTACCAGGGTAAGACAAAGCCTCCTGCCATTGCAATAAATCCCTCAGTGGGCCTTTCTTCCATCAAGGTTTGGATCCTTATCAATTGTCGTTCTTACTTGCCCTCATGATATCCGCAGCAGAAGAAGAAATCGTCAGGTCAACCTGCTCCGGTCATCCAACACGCGGCCAACTTGGCTAAGCCTCAACTCAAATTCAAGGTCCTCGTCGATAATAGCAATACACCTTGGTATCCTCGTCTGAAACACAAATACCACGCGAAATTTCCCTTAGGGTATAAATTTCTTGACCAAGTTAGTGATGCATCTGATAGCGCCAGTACATTGTATGTTTGCTGTTTCATTCTTATGCATCCTCTTCTGAGCAATTTCGTAGGTCCACTCATCCATATCGATATGAAATCACCCATCTGTCGTACCCACTGCATATGTTTCATCAAGCACCACCAATACGGCCCAAGCCCTTCGAGACCTCCTCTTTCAGCTGGGTTTCTGCGCCAGAAGAGCTGCAAACCATGCTGGGGAAGCTACGTCAAGTGACAGAAATAGCAGTCGACCTGGAACACCACAGTTATCGTACTTATGCAGGATTTCTGTGCCTGATGCAGATTAGTACACGAGAAGAGGACTGGATAATAGACGTTCTTTCCCTTAGAGATGAACTGGAAGTTCTCAATGAGGTTTTTGCAGACCCGGGCATCATCAAGGTTAGTAAATCATACCTGTTATAACCTGAGACCAACCCCTACATACAGGTATTCCACGGCGCCGATAGCGATATCGTATGGCTGCAACAAGACCTAAATTTATATATCGTGAATCTTTTCGACACCTACCACGCATCTCAGATTTTATGTACGTCAAAACCTTTTGCATTCAGTGCTAGCGAAGCTGATGATCGCTAGCTTTCCCTAAGCATGGCCTCGCGAATCTACTGGAGATGTACTGCGACTTCCTCCCCGACAAGCGGTATCAATTAGCCGATTGGCGCATAAGGTATGGAATTCATGTCTCTTAACATGCTGGATCTGACAGTGTCACCTTAGGCCACTTCCTGAGGAGATGCTGAAATATGCTCGCTCCGATACACACTTCCTATTGTTTATATACGATAATCTTCGGAACGCGTTGTTGGATCGTGGCGAATCCCAAGCTCGTTCTCAAGCTCTAGAAGGTGGCCCATCATCCTCTCCGTTATCCAGCGACTCCCTACTTCGTGAGGTGCTTGCCAGATCACAGGAAACCGCTCTGAAAGTATACGAGAAAGAGCTGTATGATGCCGCTGAAGGAACTGGTAGCACTGGATGGGATACCTTGGCTCGTAAATGGAACAAAGGCGCTCTTCTCGCTTCGGCGCCAAATGTGGGCGTTGGTGCGCTTCCAAAGCAAGTATACAAAGGTGTTCATGCATGGCGGGATAAGGTTGCCCGCGAGGAGGACGAGAGTACCAGGTTAGCCGATATTAGACATTCGTAGCCTCGTTCATTCTGACCTCCGATTCTTCCAGATATCTTTTGCCTAATCATTTCCTGTTCCAACTCGCAGAAAATCCTCCCGCCGACATGGCTGCGCTATTGAGAGTTTTTCATTCTCCTCCGCCTTTAATGAAAAAAAGAGCGAGGGAGCTGTTAGATACCATCCGTGATGCAGTCAAGGCCCATCTTTCGCGTTCTGTTAGTGCCTCAAGTATTCCCGAACCGCAACCAGAACCCATGGAAGTCGAGCACGTCGATGAAGACGTTGTAGCTCCAGAAACTCAGCCAACACCGTCTTCTACCCTGTGGTCCGGCTGTCAGTCCCTGCAGACTCTTATGCATTCTTCTCATCTGATATCTCCCATTCATAGCTACGGCTGCATCGAGTTTAGCGTCCAAATCATCGCTCTTCGGGACTGCCCTTCCGAAAACCGTCCGTCCAGTCATCGTCCCCAGGTATCGCAACTTCGCAGAGCGCATTGTTTGGAAAGATGGCTCGCGTAAGGGTTCAACAGATGATTTCATGACATTGGTACTGATTCTCACTCAACAGACATCGAACACGAACCAGAGCAGCGATACGAGTCGGTTCCGGGAACTAGTTACCCGGATACATAGTACACTTTCCATCGCGCCATCTGTACCCAAGGTATTTACGTCCGTTTCCACGCTGCAACTGCCGTGGTGTACTAACTTATGCTTAGCGTGTCAGTATCGAACCTCAAGAGAATGCTATCCCCATGCAAGTTGACGAAACCGCTGAGGATGGTATAGTAGAGATGCAAGCGGAGATACCGTTTATCCCTGCGTCTCAAAGGCAGCCACGGGAACAGATTGAAGATACCCTTGTCGTGGTTGGTCAGGCTAGGCAGAAAAAGCGTAAACGAGCCGCCCCTGCAGATACAGATGACGGCACGACAGGAACGGAGGCGACTTCTTCCAAGAAATCGAAATCTGGAGAGGGTGAAAGCGCCGTTCAAGATCCAGAGCCGTTTGACTTTTCGTCTGTGCCAAATGTCCTTGACCAAGTTCCGGAAATCCACGGAGATAACAAAGTAAAAAAGAAAGGCAAACAAAAGAAAGGTGCGGTGTTTTATTGCAACATGTTTTTCCGGAATCTCATAGGAAGAAGCAGGCGGCGCGTCCTATTTCTATGGCGATTTCCCAGCTCCTCCTAAGGGACATAGTGAGGTCAAGAGTGGAAATCAGTCTCACACATTCCAGAAATGACCGGGGAATTTACGTTCTTGAAGGCGAGGTTTGTTTGCGTAGTGTTCATTGCCAATCAAATACTCGCTTGTGACCGGACTACCCGATATCTCCCTCGTTAATAAGCTGGAACTTTCGCCACAGAGTAACTGTTTTGCGTAAAGTAACGTATATGTCATCCCCTAAACCTTTTCGAAGTCGGCAGTTTTTTGAAGCGAATTCACGTGGAGCGATGATTTTTCGGCTTTTCACCTCGTATCTCGGTTGTCGTCGGACGAAAGACGTAGTGCAAGCTACTTCATTGGCTCTTGGTATGGATGAATCACATTACTCCCCCAATTTCCCCCGCTGTGGGCATTCAGAATCTTGAACAATCCACCCACTATTTTTTCCCGCCAATGACCAGCTCTGGTGCCGCGACGCCCGCTACAGTGGCCTTGAATTCGACGACAGATGTGCGTCAGTCCAGCATCGTAGAGGGTGACGACCAGTCTGTCGCTGCCCCAGTGGTCGAAGAGGATGTTTTGGATATCGAGCATCTCCCGGTCCAAGATGATCCACGAAAGTGGTCATCCATGCGCAAGGTAAGGCAATCTCACGGTCGCGTGCCGCCCTCCATTACGATCGTCGTGCTCTAGAAATTTGTCCTCGGAGTGATCTGTTCAGGCTCGATGATCGCCGGATTCGGAGCCAACATACAAAATCGTGAGGTTGCTTCCATAAGATGTATGACTGGCAGTAATTAACGAACTTTATATTAGCTGCGATCGAGGATATGGAAAGAGACCTCCCTGCAACGAGTGGGCAAATTAGCTTGAGCATTTCCTTGTTCATTGCCTTGCAAGGAGTCACACCCTTGCTTTGGAGTTCTATCAGCGAAGTGAAAGGCCGCCGGGTACAACGCAGCCAAGGTGTTTGGGTGCTGTTTTGACTAATTCATTATGCCAGTTCGTCTACCTGATTTCGCTCCTGATATTCACCGCCGGTTCAATCGTCGTGGCTACCAGCAAGACGATAGGCTTGTAAGATTCTGCTCCAACACTTGTGCCCAAGTAAATTTATTTATCAAGCGCTTCTTTTCCATAGGGTGATAGGAATGCGATGCCTGCAGGCTTTAGGGTGCGTATGGTGTTTTATCTGCTGACTTTCTTACTCATTGGGTCCAGCTCAAGCGCTGTGATGACTATCGGCGCGGCTAGTCTTGCAGACATTTTCGATCCTCAGGAAAGAGGAACAAAGGTTCGTGCCCTTAGTAGGACTGCTCAGACGCTTATTCCTGTCTCACAGATGGGTATATACTATATTTCTCCTCTTCTCGGTCCATCTCTAGGACCAGTATTTGGTGGAGTCCTCACTACAGGATTTAATTGGCGTGGCCCCTTCTGGTTCCTCGCCATCCTTGCCGGGTCTAGTTTTTTGTGCTTCTTGTTCTTTTTCAAAGACACGTACAGGAAAGAGCGAAGTTACGCATACCAAAATATCTTGAAACGGCATTTGAAGGAGCAAGCACAGCGATTGAAAAACGAAGAAAAGCAGCGGGCCAAGGAAGCTGAAACTCTGGAGAAACCAACCGATACGAAGGAGACGAGGGAGGACGGAAATGTCAAGACCGATGTTGACCTGGAAAAACAGGAAACTAGTAATCCTAACGCCGGCGCTTTGACCCCGGAAGCTCTACCAACAATAACGCTCTCTTTGAGGGATGTCAACCCGGTCCATCCGTTATGGCTCGTTCTTCGACGCCGGAACAATCTTCTCATGCTATTCTCCTCCGGTACGCGGCCTTTTGTGGACTGTGATATATGATACAACTCGACTCCTCCCCACAGGTATTCTATTCTCATACTGCTTCATAGTCGTATACACAACATCTCGAACTCTCGGGAGCGCTTACGGTTACGATGCGCTTACGATAGGATTCATCTTACTGTCGTTCGGACTGGGTCTGCAGATTGTTTCTCTTTGTTCGCTTTGCATCACCGAAACTAATGGTATTATCTGTTATCCATAAGGATCGATGGCGGGGAGCATACTAGGAGGTCGTTTCTCGGACCGTGAATTAGCAAGGCTCAGGCGAAAGAATGGAGGCAAAAGTTACCCGGAGGTTTGCATCCCCTGCCTCCTCTGCCTCCTGCTTCCCTCATCTCTCATTTTCAATCTCTAGATGCGCTTGAGGAGCACAGTATATAGCATCTGGCTCTTCCCTATGTCGGTCATAGGGCTTGCGTGGGTATGTCAACAGCGCGTGCATGTTTCTGCGATATGCGTTATGCTATTCGTTTCGGGTTTCTTCGCAATGTAAGTTTACGCTCCTCAATCAAAATTTGGATCTGTGTGATCAATGCGTTCCGTATTAGCTCTGCTTATGCCAGCGAATTGGCTTATATCGTTGATGCAAATGTGGGTCGCTCTTCCAGTGCTGTAGCGCTAAACAGTTCCTTTCGTGGAATGGCGGCATTTATTGGTACGGAGATCGCAGTACCTGTGCAGGTTTGTCACATGTTCTTGCGGCATTTTTCCTTACTGACTTGCAAGGACACTCACTGAAAGGATAAGCTTGGCGATGGTGCGTTTTTTGGGTTCTTCGTGATGGAAACTAATACATTGTTTACCTACTTCCCCTCCTTACTGCGGTGCTCACAGGCTGGATGTATACAATCTTTGCCCTAATTCTGTTGCTCAGTGGACTATTGGTTTGCTGGTAATAAAAAAGGGCGAGGAATGGAGAGTTCAAGGAGAAGTGAGTGAAGACGGTAGCAAATAATAGAACTTAGGATGGCCTCTATTGGAAGCTGTTAATTGACCCTAGATCCTGTAGACCAGCAATATGTATTCCACAAAGTCTATGTCCTGATTTTTCTGCTTTCTCTAAATGTCAGCGGCCCGGAAGCATAACCTCAGCACCGCCACCATCGCCACCCAATTGCGACTGCCATCCTCACTCAACGAGGCCACCCAACTCACCGGTGTCAAAGACCCACTCGTGCAAAGAAAGAAAGAGCTTATTAGCACACAATTATATTGCACGTGGCGTCTAGGTAACAGTTGTAACGATGTAAAAAATCACTGACAACGGGATACACAGGATGCCACTTGTTTCCGTTTCCGATATTCTGGGAACGAACCATGCTCCAAATGAACACGACTGTGTTGTGATCCAAAAGTCTCTGTCTGAACAGGAACAGCTCCTTGAGCAAGTTCGAACACAAAAGGCTGATCTTGAAGAGCAGCTTTTGGTCACTAGCCAACGTGAAGCCCAACTTGTCAAGTCCATCGCTGACCATCGTACGCTCCTCCGTGCAAGTCCTATACGTTCTCTCCCTGCGGAGCTTCTGGGAGAAGTATTTCTCGCTCACTGCGCACAATACCCAAATCTTGATTCCGGTCGTCATGATGGTGTTGCTTTCCGGAAGAGTCGTCTACGACTCCTGTGGGTATGTAGGAGGTGGCGGGATGTGGCATTATCGATACCCAGGATTTGGGCGGTTCTGTCCGTGGAATACCACGCATTCAATAGGCCTCATTCAGAAGAAGCCGCAGCTTGGGCTTCGGTGCTTAAGAGATGGATATCATCGTCAGGGCACCTGCCTCTCAGTATTAACTTCACCTTCACCGAGTCTTGGGATTCACATTATCACAGTGACTACCAAAACATTGCCTTCAATGCTATTTTTTCCCAACTACATCGATGCAAATGTTTCATCGGCAGATTGGAGTTCGATTTCAATGGGCATGATGCTGTTCATAGGGCACTAGACCAGAATATCCCAGATGCTCCGATGCTTGAGACACTTTCGCTTCGCTCCTATCGTTCCAGCTCCGCGTCACCCATCATCAACTGGCGGCGAAAACTTTATGCCACAATTCCTCGACTTCGTCATCTAGACGTCGACAGTGCCAGTGGTATTGTCTCCTTACCAGTGCAAAATATCATCACGGTAAAGCTTGAAACAGCTGCGTTGAGCGATCTCTTTTACCTTGTGGAAAATGCGGCAGTCCTAGAGGAATTGGAAGTGGGAGAGGTGGAACAGAGTAGAGATCTTCAGCACAGCCAACGTGATGCCCATCGATTGGACAGTCTAGTCAATGTCCATTTCCGGTATACCGACAGTGCAGCGGTCAGTCGATTCATTGATTATGTGACGCTTCCTTCGATCAGCGAGCTCGCTGTTCGAACGAGCTCACCGTGGTCAGATCCCGCTGCCTCATGGCCAGATATCGATATCTTCATCCGTTTTTTCGAGCGATCAGCGTGTTCCTTGACCAAATTGATCATCGCGGCTCCTGAAGTCGACGAACGTGGGTTTCTTCTGGGTATACTTCCCTCCGTTCCGTCCCTCCAAGTCTTGCACATCGAAAACGAAGATTACGACGTGCCCTTACTTCTTCCATCCTCTGTGATTGAGTATCTCACCGGCAAGCCCAAGAGACAGAACCTTACGGCACTCACAGACCTACGAATTTCTGTACAGCTGCGTCAAATGACCGGTGTGAAGAAACTCCTCGATTACCGTCATACGAACTGGGGGACGCTCGGAGTAACTAGGCTTAGTTGCTTCTCGGTTATCGTTGTAGCGGCGCGGCTCTCTACAGCTCAGATGAAATCTCGAAGACAGCAGATGCGGGAAGTCTTTAGCCCCTACCAGAAGGCCGGTCTAAGTTTGGCGTGGCGTATTCAGAGCCGGTGATTTTTTTTCATTTATATATCCGCCTTAGAATGGCAAGAATATATCTCAGCTATTTTTTTTTCGGCCAACCTTTGCCACTGCACGTTTCAAGTTCTACCATTTCGCATCATCGATTTCGTATCGGAACAGGTGCTGCTTGGACGTAAGCTCAGTCGGCCTTCATTCCGGTGCAACTCTGTAGCCGACCAGCTGTGCACTGTGCCAACTGGCGCACAACTTCCGCTGTAACGAAGAGGTAGGCTGGACTGCGCCGAAACGTTTCTTGCACATGTTGAAAGCCATGTCATCGAAATAACTGACAGTGACTGCGTGCTGACGCTGTCTTGCCCCATCAATGGTGCTCGTCAAAAATGCATGTAGTTGATTGTCAAATACGGAGCGTCCAAGTCATGTACTTGGCCGGTTCTCTACTATCTATCTTGAAGAAAGCCAAGAATATTTTTTGTTTCACAATCGGAGATCACTGTTGTGCACGTTTTCGCGTTCGCTCTTTCCCCAACTTGATGCACCTAGCCTCAGTACGTTTTCGGAGAGGGTTTTATTAAGACTATGTCTACGAGACCGTCAGTGATTAACAGGCCAAGTTTGAAAATCAGATGCGACGGTTGCATAAGCTCATGCATTAATGGAGGGGTTGCTCAAAGTTTCCACATTTCTGCCAGCATATTGATGATACTTCATAGTATTCCTTCTACAAATATATTCAAGATTACAGGGAACCTCAGCTTTGTAGTGATACAAGTCTACTACCTACGGGGTAAGCCTGTCAGGTGGAAGTTCGGTCCGTGAATGAAGAACTTACGATCTTTGAGTGTGTCGTTATTGCTGGTGTAACACTTGCGCTAGTTAAACTCTCCGCTCCATACTCGACGCACTATGCAAAAAATTGATTGGGTGAGTCTGGGGAAGACGCCGAAGAGGATAAGTAATCCCATACCTCGAATTGCCTCCACACTCAAGATACCTCGGTGACGCAATATAGGCAGCGACTTTTTGACCTCTTTGAGTGAAGCTCTCAGAGTCTCGGCCCCCTTGGCACCTGTGCACAAGAAGCTATAACAGTTATGCCCACATTGACTGTGCAGCTTAAGATCCACGCTACGAAGCGATGGCATGTCGCGACAATGGCCAATGTGTTCATCCAATAATGACCATTCATGACACGGCGGTACGTGATTGCCTCGTAAAATCACCAGCAGTTTTAGCTCCTCCAACGTACGCGTCAATGGTATCAAAGCGGGAGGTGGTACGAAATCGACGCTAACGTACAGCGATCGCAGACGCGCGAGATGTTCTGTCTTCAGAAGAGGCCCTTGGCTCAATGAAGAGTCCCATTCTGATTGTCCGAGTCCATCAGTTCTTTCTCCCACGCAACAAAATGGGGGACATACCAAAAAGTTGCCGATAGACCAGGCACTCCAGAGTATTCGAGGCTTGATCGATGATGGCTTGAACCAAAGAACGCTGCCTCTGCAGATCTTTCCCCGTAAAGCCCACCGAAAGCTCACGGAGGTGATGGGTGTCGAATAGAGAATTTGGACCTGATAGATACATTGCGCTAACTGGACAATCATATCCTGATAGCTCCAATGCTTCGAGACGCGGACGTATCACGGGCTCCCGTACGTCTGCATCAGCCAGACCATCAGAACGGGGAGCGCGTGAATATTCGATCCAATTCAGTGAAAGCCGCTTCAAAGATGGTGATCCAGCGAGGCGGCCCATCAGAGTGCGTGGTAGGTCGATATCTTCCAGTTGATCAATGTCAATGCACTGGACACTGGGGAGGGAAAACGACCGAAATAAAGCCTCCTTGAAGACCGACGGCAGCATACGCCACGATACCTTGCTATCGTCAGCACCAACGGTGATGCGTTGCAAGTTCTGCAGAGAATCGAGGATGCATGGTAGCGTGTCCTCATGATAAATTCCGCGAACACCTCTTCCGTATTCAACTTGAAAGTGTACCATTCGAAGTGAGACGACAAAGAACGCGATGTAGGGTGAGCTGCGAAGAAGGGAATGAAAGTTGTCGCAGGTACACATTATTCCCCCAGAAAATGGACGAGCACTGCTAGAGCGGTAGTCCTTTTGAGCCAAGATGACTCGAGAAAATGTGTGCTTGCGGCTGGAAGGGAGAAAGGCATGAGAAACGAGGGCGCATGTTTTTAGGGTTGGCATATCGTCGTGCACGAAGGCGATGACTTCGTCAATGAGCTCCTGGGGAATGTAGCGCATAGTCTAAGCAAGTGACTAGTGGGAGGCCGGGGATGGATTTGAGCGCAGATTTGGGGCAGTTAAGAAGCCAAGAATTTGTTGCGGGCTTTTCAAGTATCATCGTGGAATACCTCATGTGTGAATGTCAGATATCGGGGGGTGTACCGAAAATATTCGTCTTTGCTCCTAGAAAATTAAGTCGAGGCTTGAGATCAACAAATCCGGTCCCGAAATTCCGAGCCGGCGCCCATATTTAGTCATCACCTTCCTCTCTTGTCATCCACCGCGACTGACGTCTGATACACCAGTACATACAATCACTGGTCCTTTCCGCATGTTAGTCATTAATTATATCGCACCTTTTATTGCTTCTCACGTACGTTGAATTTTTATCATTCACTGTCCATCATACTCATGATAGTTCCCCGGGTTTCGGCGACAACGGTGGACAAAAATCTAGGCCGTCTGCGCGTCTATACCCGCTTCACGGAGATGATGAACTTTCTGCTGATCTCCGATGGCAACGCTCGCACTGTCGCAGTAACTTCCCACTCCTTACACTGATCTTCCACACTTTGGGTCGCTCGCAAATGCTTTCATGCATTACTGGGGGCTCATGAAAAGGACCCCAAGTGGCGCCGAGAACCCCTTTCGATGCAAATTCCTGAATCATATTTCGAAGCGCATGGCGCTTTGGGGGCTGGGTGTCCGTTTCAGAACTTGTTACCGCCAGAAATCGTCACAGAATTTTCTACGGGACGGAACTATTAACGGCCTCGACTCTTAGCGTGTGTTATCTACGTTCAAAGAGAACCATTCCTTTGAAGAACTTCCTTATTTTGGCTTTATGTTCTACTCGGGATTCCATTTGAATCATGGAAAAGCGGAAGACCGTCAAAGGGATTGCTCTGGATCCAAGGTCCCTTTCTGTTTGAGACTCTTCGCTATTATCTTGCGTCTTGCGATCAAAGTATATGCATTCCCGCCGCTCATCAACATCGGACAGCACTTCAGCGTCTCGCTATCTATGCAATCACGTAGACAAGACTTTGACGAGACTCTTGATATTGGCCCCCGCTTATTTTAGCCTCGACAATCACGAGCTTGCGAACGGTATCTCCGCTGGACCCAATATACCAAGCCATGTACTAGTATATGTTGTATCATATCCTCACGCAGGGGCGAACCACTCCACAGTCTGGAGAGCGCTCAGACTGCGTGGAGGCGCTCGATCGGACGTGCTGGTGACTTCTCATTTAGTCAGCCGACGCAGCTCGCACGAGGAATAATGTCAGTCCAATCTGTAGTCACTTGCAACGGAAGGAATCGTCAAGTCTTAGTCCGACCTTGCGTTGGTTGACAGTTGTGGTAAAGTTGATTGAAATTCTCCTTCATCAATTCACCCCGTTCGTTTTGTGCAGATACTGGCCGACAGTTCAATCCAATATACATGGAGTATATAGCGATGAAGTTTGGGACAATCCGCTACATGCTCGTTGAGGTTTCTGCCAATCTTCCTTGTTAAGTATCGAAAATTCCTAACAAGTTCTCACCAGCAATCATTGGAAGTCTTCCTTCAATTCATTAGGATCCCAAATGCAACGACCACTGTAATCTACATATACCTCTTCCGGTCCGGACTTAGCCTCGACAGACGCTGCAGGATGCAACCTGATTTCAACTTCATTGTTTCAGCATCCTGTCTAGTGGAGTATAAACGTTTTCCGAGCATGGATCGGTTTTCCAGCACTCCTAGCTATCCAAGCCACTGCGGGATTCGACTGTTCTTCTAGTTTTATCCAGGACACGCGTGGTCTTGCCCTTTCCGCGCGTTGACTAACAGCCCAGTTGAATGTTCACCCATAGACCGAAGACCGGCCGTTGGTAACTTTTCCAGATGGTAAAGACCCTCCGTCGCTCAGTTGTGTGCGCCTGACAAGCTCATTAAAGCGGCGTCTGGTAGATCTGACAAGCCACTCGGTATCTTGCTTCTGGTGAGTGCGGCAAAGGAATAGCCCATAGGCAACTGCTATGATTTATCCCACAGACTCCAGCCGAACTTAGTACGAATAGCCTCAGGCAACGCATTGAGTTCCTGACACCAGGAGCAGCAGACGGAACAACGAAGAAGTTCAAACGGAGGTTCTAGTGAGCGGCAAAACCCGATGATCTCTAAAATTATTTTTGGACTTTAGTCTGTCTTCCCAAACTGGGACGACAGTGCACTTCCTCCGCCTCATGCAGGTCTTGTCCCGAGGCGATGGCGGACCGATTGTGACATATTGGATGCCGTTACCGATGGACAGTTGGGCCCAGCATTCTGATAAGGGATTATAAACGGGACTGCGACGTCACGGGTTGTTCTTCTATCACTTTTGGACCGCCTTACCTTCGTCGCCGTCGCCTTTGGTCCGAAGGGGAGGTTCAAGTGTGACATCGAGGACGCTGCGGACAAGAGTATAGAGCTTTTGAGCTACATCGTCGAGGGGGAAGTGAGGAGTGAAAGTACTTACCTCGCATGTTTTCGTTTTGTCATTATACCGTCACTGATATTCATCACTGCGCTATATCAAGCATCAAATTTGGAACTTAACGTTTTGCGGTTGATGGAATGACGAAATCATTGTGCGCTTTTGACTATTGAGGACTCTGGTCTTCTTCTGACCTTTTACTTTCTCTTGTTGGAAAGAGCGTCTGCTGGAGACTTCGTGAGAGTAACTCTTGAGCATGAACTATAGGTAGTACTGGCAACCTGGCCGATGTCCTTTATCTGATTGTCCGCTGTTAAGTCGTCGAAAATTTGGCGGACCGAGTAAACTGATCAAAGGCGTTTATATGAGTTGCCATGTTCACAATACCATCTTTCCGTCATCGAGAGCTTCTCAACAATCTTACTAAGGTTTGCATACTATTGCTTGGGAAGGAGAAAACGACGTCGCAAAGGTCAACGATATTCTTGACGTTGTACTTGGGGACATATTACGAAGTTGTGCCTGTCCTCTTAAGTAAAGTGTAAAAAAATATTAACTAATTATCTATTTCTATTTTGGGATTCATCGTTTCTGTGCCGGTGCTTCATCTTAGTCTCTGCCACCCACCACCACCTACCGCCATTCTTTGCTTTCCTCTCCTCCTTTCTGTTGCTTGCCAATCCCGGAATCGAGCCTTTGGTTGGCTCGATTTCCGCTTTAATTCCCATAATTTTCTTTATTTTTCTCAACCATGGCCCTTACCCAAACGGTAACTTTACCTGGTCCGGGTCCGTCTTGGGACGAGGAGGTGGTACCGGCTCTGCGAAAAAGTAAAATCTTCGACGAACATTCCTGTTGTTTGAGACTTGCTAATGATATACTCCAGGACTGGAGAATGAGAGTCGAACACTTGCCCGGCGCATATCAGCTATTTCTATAACCTCGTCGGAGGACGTGTCGAAAGTGACGGCGAGCAACGAGTTTGGATATCGAGGACAGAACTCTGCTTTGAATTCCTTATCAAAACAATGCGACAACTTCGCGTTCTCGACCCTTTCAACAACAAGCACGGACTTCCTTAGATCGTGGTTCATCATCCTCACGCGTTACCCCCGCCAAATCTTCTTCGACCCGTTCAAGAACATATTCGCAACCTTATTCGTCTGACACGCAGAAAGGACGACTCAATGGGAAGTCCAATGGTTCGCGGTCAAGATCTCCTCGCCATGTCGAAGCCAAACCAACTCGCATACCCAAGCCTACTCGAAGCAGAGCTGGCAGTACCTCAAGTCATAACTATGCCATCCCGGGAAATAGCAGGCAGTCCCTACGGTTCCCCGCAGTCAACCACCACTGATCCTGACTTATGGATAGTGCATGAACAACCGGCAGCTGCTTCTCGTTCGACTATATCCGAAACGAGTCGTCAACAACCGATTCTTCTCAACGAGCCAGCTCCTTTCAAACCAGAATCATCCCCTTCTCTCAATGCATATCAATCCCAGGAAAGCATCCGAAAGCCGCTTGACGACCCTCCACGGCCCTCCATGGAATCAGAAGAACGTCCGTTTGAGCATTGGTATCGGGGAGAGGTGTCGCGGAATGGTGGTGTGGGCGAACTAAGAGTAGGCCGGCGCCAAGAGATGCTGGAAATCGCCAACTATGGCCATTCCCTTAGAACGAAAACCGAGGCCCAGAATGCTTTGGACGGACGCCCTTGAGGAAGGTAGGCGAAGGCGAAGGCGAGCGGACAGTGTTGGCGCTACTGAACGCAGGGAGAGCTTCCACATGGAAGAAGATGGCGTTGCAGACGCTACTCAAGTAATGGACGAGCACCCATTGACCGACTTGGATGGAGAAGCTTCGGACGCTGGGAACTCGTCAGACTATTACACGCCATATTCCAATCACAATGGTGTGTCTGATGCTTCGTCTGCTTTGACACCTGGGCCTACAGCCACGCGTGGATCGCGGAGTATTACGCCCACTTTCCATCGACCATCTTCCCGTCAACAACCATCTCGAATACCTACACCTACACGTCAGATGACCGAACACTCTCGAATGGCGACACCTACGCAAATAGCAAGGGGATCTAGCGAGCCCCCTTCTTTTGCATCAACTTCATACACTCCACCTAGCCGTTCGCAGACTAAAACCGCCTCACCTACATTGCAACAAAAACGTGGTGCTTCACCCGCTTCTCTCTCTGCGTCATCAAAGTCAAGGACGACCATATCCAAAGCTACACGTGCTAGGAACGAGGCTTTGAGGAAAGAACGAGACGAAGAAGCAAAGAGGCGCAGTGTCGCTCATTACCCAACACCCAACGACGATATGCGAGACGCCATACCTACATGGACAGAACCTGTACCTCGGGAAGGTAATTGGGACGATGTAAGTCTAAGACTCATCAGGTTGTAATATCCACTGATGTATCGCTCCCCTAGGTGGTTCTACCAGTCGTTGCTAGAAAGAGGGGCCTCGACGGTCATTACGAGCAAGCGGATGGTAGCCCTAAGCCCAGACCAATGGAAAGAGTCGTCGCACCGGCAAGTGTTCTTTTACCCTACGCTACAAGTCTGTTTTGGTTTACCTTCATTGACAGGCTCCCGGAACATTCGGATATGACCACTCGAAGTATCGTCCACCGTTGGATGGTGATCCTGACAGTATCCTCATGGATGAGTTCGGAAGACCTAATAACGACCACCCAACTGTACAAGATACGGCGTACGAGGAGGAGACAAAGCCGCGTCCGCCACTATCTCCAATATCTACGAATCATGACCGGACACCCTTGCCGGTTCGGACGCAGCCTCCTGCATCGCCTGTACCATTCTCACACTACGCGCCAAACACTACTGCAAAACTACAACCAGTTTCTGCTGGTGCGGCAAAGCTTGAGGTCCAGGAACCTCGTCTAGAAGAAGAGGATGCAGGAGGATGCTGCAAGTGCGTTGTTATGTGACCTTTTTCATATTTCATTTTGGCGCGTATGGATTTTCCCTTCTCTGTCTTTTTTCGCATGCCTCCTCGTTCTGTATTGCTGTGAGCCCTCATAATCACTTACCGCCTTAGGCCTCGTCCTCCTTGCTATCGATTACTACATAATCATACTTCACTGTGTCCTTCCTTTAAGACCACTGTCGTTCAATGGCACATGTCAGCGCATCCACCACTTTTGTGCTTTTATCCTCGTGTATTCATATCCGCTTTCGACCTTACCGTACGTTCCTAATGCGCTTACTATGTGGACAGTTTATTCTCTTTCAACCTGGTTTTATTGGAATACCCTACAGCACAGTATTTACCCCATCATGCAATTCATTTGGAAGTCAAATATTCTCCTCTCTGCACACCGAACACAGAGTCGCAAGCAATGGACATCACTGTTCACAAACATCTGTAACCATGTAATCCATACTGTCAACCAGATGGCCTTCCTTATCCACTCTCACTTCCGTGGTGACGTATTTCGCGGTTACCGTATAAGTTGCGCCGGCGTTCTCGTCCACGATAAGAGTTGTTTTATTGGTAAACGCTTCAATGACCTCTCCATTCCTAGACCAAGTAATCGTATAACTTTCGGTCGGCTCAATTGGCACTTGTCTGAACTGGGCCAACGGGATCAACTTGACAGTGAGTGTCTTGGACTTCCCAGAACAGCCCTCGGTCAAACTATCGATCAGATTGACCTTTGACAGCAGGGCGTGCCAGAGACCTTCTAGGCAGACCTTGCAGAAGTTAGAAGTCGTGACGAGTCGCATGAGACAGTCCTCGTTTGTTGGGCGATAGGACGTCTTGTTCGTGGCGGAGTAACTGTAGGAACGAGGAGCCATTAATCTTGACTCTTTAAGCATAATTATGGAGAACGGACGTGGGGAAAACACCATAGTAATTCGGTGCCGCGATGAACCTGTAATGAGTGTGAGAAAACATCTTTTTCTGATGAGAAGGGGACCAACGCACTCATTCTCATCACCGAATTCCAAGATTTCCACGTTGCACAACTGAGCTATACCTTCTCTGTCCGCGTTGAGGAGCGTGAACTTGACCTCATGCGTACCACCGGCCAAAGCATTGTCTCGATAGACGTCATAATGCCATCGATCTACGCCCAGTCCTTCTTTGGGAACCCAACCTAGGTCAATACCATCCAATTTCACCGTGAGGTCGGAGCTCTCCAAAAGGCCCGAGAGCGAAAATCGGACGAGGTGGCGCGAAAACGTTCCGGATGAAACGAACTCGGTTGTCCAGGGCTTTGATGTGTTGAGCATAGACCAGGCGTAGTCTTGAAGCGGCATGACGGATCGTTCGACGCGAGAAGGTTGGTCGTCCTCTGGAGGGTTCGTAAGCCAATGAGCCCATGGAACGGGTTCGCTCAAGTCGTGATATGCATCGACGCCGCGGTAGACCTCGCCTCCATCATACTCCTCCCCAACGAGGATGATGGAGTGCCCAAGTTCGTGGCGTAGGATCGAGGGTCCGTTGACTATTGATGATGTGATTACACTGTAGGAAGATAAGCTTTCTTGGGTAAATACTCATAGTCACTTCGTACTGACGTGTATCTGCCACCAAGACCTATCGCGGATACATTAGATTTAGGATGCTAGGCCAGCCATCAGTTTCTCACCCCCGTACAATGGATCATTGCCTTGGACCTTAAATCGGTAAAAGGTTCCCTGACATGGGAAATTTTGTTCCTTACCTAGCAAAATGGGAAAATCACATTGATCTCCCATGGAGGAGCACGCAGCTCCCGCCACTTCTGGCTTTGCATAATAGACCCCGCGAAGTTCTGTTCCGGGGCGATAGAGGCCGTACGTGGTACTGCGCATCGATTAGTGCATCGTGAGTGAGAGACGGTTGCTTTAAGCTTGCTTCTTGGGCTTTCCACCTACACCAACACCGCTCTGAGAAGTACGTTAAAGGCAACGTAATGAATGAGCTTGGAATACAGTCACTCACTTCTTGACTGGGTGTGAATGCGGCCCAGAAATTGAGTATTGGCTGGACTGTATTGAATGTTTGGTTTTTGGAGACGTCCTCCGCTAGTCGCATAGCGTCCACGATGAATTTTTCGCGCTCCTCGAGAATGTCTATGGGAGGTGTTTTATTAGATAAAATCACACCAGAGGCGAATGCTCACAGCCATCGGAGAAGAAAACCAAGTCGACTCGATTATTGCTGGGCCCTGAGACGATAAGCGGCTCGATTTCAAGTGGAGGGGGTTCGACACCACTGTATTCGAGTGTTTCTTGATCTGGGTACCAGTACGGGATGTCGTATTCTTCATTGAATTGGCGAACACATTTACCCGAGTGGCTAGGGACAGATAGGTGGTCATTGAGAGACTCAGAATGGTGATGTGCCTTGGCGCCGCAGATTAGAGCCAGAGCCAGGAAGGTAAACAACATTGTCGCCCTGGAGATGCTTGAGTTATATTGAATGATTAGATTTGAGAGATATAAAACTGTCTCTAGCAATAGGACACAATGAAAACGATAGATTTGGAGACGAATGACTGCTTTTTGATAAGTAGTTCGTGGCAGGGTCTTTTGGTACTCACCGATTGTAAGAATACCTAACAGGCCCAAGGACTTTTTGGATCCTAATAATTCGAATCCAAAAATACAAGCGAATGAAGCGACTTCACCTGAGTGAGGTTGAAGCTTGAAGTGTCGGAGGTTGGTCGAAGTTCCTGTTGAGATTAACTTCTCGACTTCGTGAGAAAATGGACGTGCGGGGCGGCCGGGCCGATGATTCCAACACAGCCACGATCATCTACGGCAAGCGCTAGATCTACCACTGCTATGTGTACAGATTCTACACAGCACTGCTAACAGACATATGTGCCAATTATATGACCGTTTGTCACTCTGAGTCATCTTACATAGAGCCGTTGACTCTGGTCTATGGCCCCGGGGCCCCCAGGTGAAATGTATAGCTTCCAACCCTTTTCCCGAATATAACGTTGCTGTGCGTCAATGAGAGTTTGGACTCGTGTGCTTCAAGTTCACTATTCAATGTGTTCAATGTTCCCTTTGTCTTTTTTTTTAATTGTCATAGCAACCCTGCCTCTCCCGATGTGACAGATGATTTCAAAAGGTGTCGAGCATTCCGAAATTTCGAAGACCCAGCTCTCATGCATCATTCTACAAATCAATGTTTTTCCATGGATTGAATCATATACCGCATATGATTATTATCCGGTTGAACCTGCTGATTTTTTCATGTCAATAAATATAGCGATTTGAGGTCTAGTGGCGCTAGTGCGCGCAGCAAAAAAGCTATTATAGGTGACGTTAGGTCACGGTACCGGCGCTTTCTTGACTGGGAACTGGTCAGTGCTGGACGCGACACTCTCTCAGGAAGCGCGTTCCGGCTTCTGTTCTCTTTCTTTCGTCGTGACAGACGCCTTCTCTTTCCGTTCTGGCCGCTGAGGACGAAAGAGCTTTAACGACCTACTAATACGGACATGGCGACGCCTTCAAAGTCGACTGGCAGCTCGAAATCCCTCCATGATTATGTGCGTTCGGCCCCGATGTTCTTGTCGTTGTCCTCATCGTCAAGCTGTAGCAACTGGGAGACTCGCTGGGCAAGGGTGCCTTTGGTCAAGTCTACCGTATGTGTTGATTCTTCGACATCGAGATCCGGCTCATTCGTCGCAAAGGTGCACTCAACTGGGCCACTGGAGAAACCGTTGCTGTCAAGGAGATACAATTGAGCAATATACCAAAGAGTGAGCTGGGAGAAATCATGGTGCGTTCATTGTCTATTCCATCCATCCCTTCCCTTGACCTTTTGCCTTTGTACATAGTCCGAAATCGACCTTTTGAAGAACCTCAACGTGTGTGCAACATCCCCGCTACTGCTATACCCTGACTGTCCTCCAGCATCCGAATATCGTCAAGTACAAGGGTTTCGTAAAGACACGGGAGTATCTGTACATCATTCTTGAGTGCGCATTTCGATCTGCCCTTCCGATGCTCCTCTCATCAGTGGCATAGGTTCTGCGAGAACGGTTCACTGCACAATATTTCCAAGCGATTCGGAAAGTTTCCTGAGAACCTGGTATCCGTGTACATCTCCCAAGTACTGGAAGGCCTTGTCTATCTTCATGACCAGGGCGTCATACACAGAGACATAAAGGGCGCCAATATCCTCACGAACAAAGATGGGACTGTGAAACTTGCGGACTTTGGAGTGGCGAGTACGACTGCCAACGGTGCCTTGGATGATGCCGTCGTGGGGAGTCCTTACTGGAGTGCGTGTCATTTTCATCCTTGCGGGACTTACATTGACTTGAACAGTGGCGCCGGAGGTAATTGAACAGTCTGGTGCAACAACAGCGTCGGATATATGGTCTGTTGGCTGCCTCGTTATCGAACTCTTGGAAGGGAACCCGCCCTATTATACGCTTGAGCCAATGCCTGCATTGTTTCGCATCGTCCAGGATGATTGCCCTCCGATACCAGAGGGCGCGTCTCCCATTGTCAAAGACTTCCTATATCACTGCTTCCAGAAGGACTGCAACTTGCGAATATCGGCCAAGAAGCTTCTCAAGCATCCGTGGATGGTCTCAACGCGTAAACAAATGTCAAACGGAGAGGCGGCGACGAGAGCGGCAGATCGAAGACCGTTGAGCAACTACAACTATGATGAAGCAGTACTCAAGGTGCAAGAATGGAACGAGGCTTTGAAATGTCCGCCTTCACACTTCTCTCAACTGCTCATGGCTAACTAGCGGTTCTTTTAATGCAGCGCCCTCACGACCATCCAAGCACCCTCACCGAGGACCACGATCACGGCCACCTTCGCCCAGTCGCTCCCCTACGGACAATTCATTCAAGCCATCTTTACCCACGTCTACGTCTGCTGGCTCGGGCCCGTCAACGTCAGCCCCATCGGCATGGAAACTGGGATCTGCTCCCAAAACCAATGGAATAGGCTTAGTGGAAAAGATTCAACCTTTGGCGTTTATCCTGCAGCCACCAGAAGTACAGACTGACAACTGGGATGATGATTTCTTGGAAGGGATATCTTTCACCAAGTTGCAGGGTTCGTCACAGCATGTCCTCTGTCGTTTCCATATTAATAATTATCGCTTAGCCCTGGAGCGGACCCCGCCTGACGATGATAAAACTGAGACGGATGACAACGCGCAGACTATCCGGCCAAATCGAAGTCCTGGTACCAGTGCTATACCCTTGGCAAAGGCGCCCTCACCGGAAATGAAGCCCATAGTGGAAGACTATTCTGACCTGGCGGATGAGAATGAATTGGAGAATAAGGTCGCAAATTTCAAGGTGAACCCTCTATTGCTCCCGGATACCCTTTTGATGCTAACAAACGGCTTCTATGTCACAGATGAAGAACTCTGTCCGCAAAGGTCTCTTTCACCCAGACGACATCAAGGCCTTTGCGTTATCTAATTCCGTCCCTGCGCCACCAAAGTCCGCGCCAGAGTTAGCAAGGAGGACCTCACGTCCTTCTCTCAGTCCCATCAGGTTTCCATCTGCTCCCCTTCCGGGACCGCCTTCTGGCACTATGCGAAGCTCTCATTCACGGTCGTCGTCATTTGTTGGGACAATTGGGAGCAGTGGGGGGTCGTTTGGTCGCGCGGAGGCAAAGCGGGCTCAGAGTACGCCAGAGTTTGATAAGTATGCGGAGGGGGATGATGAAGATTATGAAGATGTCTTTGGGAAGCCAAATGGAAACAGTAAGTGAATTCATAGGTCACCACGAGTGCTTGAACTGATGGGTTGAGCAACAGCGCTGGAGCAACCCATGCAGGCATTACAACTTAATACAAGGCTATCGAATAAGTCATGGGTTCGTGCTTTATCGCGTGGCGTTGACCATTACCACTCATTTGTTGTTATTTAGTTAGGGGATGAGAACTCAGATGAAGAGGATCCATTCTCTGAGATTGATGAAGGTTTTGCGGAGGATGACCTGGAAGCAAACCTGCAGAGAGACAAATATGCTCGACTGTGCACCCAAGTCAATCAGCTTATCGATGAACTCACGCCTTCTGCGCCTGACTTCCAATTGCGGGACGCATGCGATCAGCTGGTTTGTTACGACAACTCCTTTGATACTACTGTTGTACTGACAATTGTATCAATACAGCTCGGAATAATGGCCGATACTCCGGAGATGCAAGTCCAGCTGGTGTCATCACATGGAATGCTTGCTATTTTGGAGGTTCTGGAGGGCAAGTGCTCAAGAGACGTTAACATGAAGTTGTTGCAAATTGTTAATCTGGTGGGTTAGGCATCTACATCAGCTGCTCGCAAGATGTTTACCGTATTGGTAGCTTGTTACTGCGGATTTGGGCTTCCTCGAGAGTTTCTGTTTAATAGGGTGAGTGGATTGGCTGGTTTTGGTGTTCCGTTCGTTCAAGTTATTCTAGTGGGATACCAGTCATGATGGGTACGCAACATATCAATTGTTTTCGCTGAAAAACTCATACCTGGCAGGTTTTACTTCCAAAAGGTACCCCTCTGAATGCCGGTTGGAGGCCTCTAATTTCATCCGACTTCTTTGTCACACGTCCGTTCTGACCCTTCAGATGTTCATCTCGTAGGTCGGAGACGCCGAAATTGTCGATTTTTGCTTATACCCTTATTTAGGTGCCGAGGTCTAAAGGTGCTCGTCGACCTACTTGACGAAGACTATGCGGAACAGACCGAACTGGTCGTCCACGCTCTTAATGGAATCGGAAGTGTGTTTGAGCTTCAGAGTCCCACAACGAAGAACGATTTCTGTCGAATGTTCATTCGAGAAGGACTTCTCGACCCTCTTTCATCGGCACTCCTCAACGTAATGGCTAACCGAGGAACGCCGTCAACGGATATGAAGATGAAGATTATACAAATTTTATTGGTATTTTCACAGGTTTCGCAGTCGGACATTCACGTTCGCAATGCGTTGGGTACGAGGAAGGTCATACGCCGTGAGTTCTGATGTCTTGAAAAGATGGACTCTGCCAAACGCTTTGCCCGACAGGACTTTTACGTGCATGCGAGTTGTTGGAGCCAGAATGTCTCGTGTTGATGTTGAAAGCTGTGAAACATCTCTCGATGAACTCGACACTCCTGGACGTATTACAGAATGCCAACGCTATTGAGATCCTCGTTCGCATTTTGGATGAACAATCGTCAGGTCCTCACAGTACAGTATGTGTCTTCGTTACAACTATGATATCATTTACTTACCTTCAACGCAGGAAATGTCCAATCATATCTTTCAGACATGCTTTAACCTTTGCCGCCTCAACAAATCGCGTCAAGAGGAAGCGGCACAAGCTGGAATTATCCCTTGCCTCAAACGGGTCATAGAGACGAGTTCGCCGTTGAAGCAGTTTGCTTTGCCCATTCTGTGTGATCTGGCTAGCGCAGGGAAGAGTTGTCGGACATACTTGTGGCAGCAAGATGGTCCTAGGCTGTACTTGAAGCTACTCGAAGATCCTTATTTCCAGGTTAGCGCCTTGGAATCTATCTTGTCTTGGTAAGGCGTGTGGCACATATTTTCAAAGTCTTATTGGGCTGACTTGATACTTATGACAGGTTACAAGATGAAACTGCACGAGTCGAAGACGAGCTCATGAAACCGGAGTCTATAAGCTCCTTAGTCCAGTGCTTTGTTTCGGCCAAGGCAAATTCGTTCGAGAATCTCCTTGATCCCTTCTTGAAGATGACACGTCTCTCTACGCCTATCACCATCGCCATGACCAAGTCGTCAGCCTTCTTCAAGCGGATCATCGACCGGCTAGCACACAACACGAAAGCTGTCGTGCGGCTGAACCTCCTCCGTATTTTGCGAACAGTCTGTGAGGTACACCCCAATCGTGCGGTTCTCGTCGAAAGGTATGGGCTCCTGGGTATCGTGGAGAACCTGAGCCAAAGTGGCGGAGATGGTGCGGTGCTCGTTCGAGAATTGGCGAGGGAGATCGTCCCTGTTCTGAAACCCGGGCTAAAGCCCGTGGCGAGAGGCACTGGGTCCGAGTCTCCGAGGACAGTCGCTCCGAAGAAGACGAGAAGGACGGCGTCTGAGACTTCGGCGACTGTGTATGGGCAGGGGAGTACTGCGAGATTTGGTGTGCCGCGTCCGAGTACGAAGAAGTCGACTCGAGATCGGATGAGGTTGAATGAGATCCCGTGGCAGACAGACAGCGGCTCTGGGAGTCAGCTTTGATTTGTATAACACTCCTTTTTTTCTCTCTCTCTATCCCTCTGCTATATCGTCGCATAGTTTTCGTTCTTTATTTGGGTATCTGCATCGTATAAGTACTTGACCTCTCATTAGCATTTTTACTGAACACTCTCATTGCATATGGTATAGATATCATTATCAGATAGTCTAATACTGTGGAAGATGTAAGTTATGGATGAGACAGAAAAGAGTGGTGTGCTTACCAGCTAGCTTCCTTTTTTGCGTCCGAAGACGACAACTAGCAGAAAAAGGTTAATTGCGAGCGCAACGACCCATGCTGAAGTCACAACGATTAAATGCACTGATCAGTAAGAGTTGTAAAGCAGTATAACCGAGAGCCTTACCGTTGAGCTTCCAATCCAAATGCTCTGAAGGAACGGAACCAAGCTCCCGAAGCGGTCTTCACTTCCTCATAATGAGGATTGATTCTACGAGACCATAGTCAATAGACCAGAGTGTCCGGAAGGCGAATGACGAATTCGGCCGTACCGTACACCGTACCGACAAGGTCGTCTAGCAAGACCGGGTACGGTGGACATCCCAAGGCTGCAGCATGCAGATGACTCAGAGCAATTGCGTTGGTATACTACTAGTATACCAACGTCATCCTCTTACCCTTGTATCCCTTCTCTTTTCGCGGACATCGAAGAAGGTGACATACTCTCTCTGGCTTAGATTCCAAGTTGTCGATAATATGTTTGTTGTATATAAAGTTAGTCTAATACTGTGGAAGATGTAAGTTACGGGTGAGACGGAAAAGGGTGGTGTGCTTACCAGCTAGTTTCCTTTACTGTCGGACAGTGCGAATGAATGGTATCTGGAATCCTGATACCAATGCCCTAGCACGGTCCTGTGCTCCAACTCCCTGAGCGTTGGTGATGAAGTGGATGTGCATTCCGTATTGCCTTGGGTAGGCCTCCTGGTTCACTTCAATTTGAGGGAAGAAGCCCATAGCTTCAGGCGGCAAACCCATGGACACGACGCCAGATACAGAGCTGGGTTTGTTTATATTGGACCCGGCGATGGGGAGAGCAAGGCCGTCGAACTCCCGAAGACGAGGGAGAACGAATTCGACGAGGGTACCGATGAAATCGTACATGTTTTGGCCCTTCATTGTGACCTTGGCGCCGATGGGAATCCCGGGCCTTAGCCAGCCACCGACTTGTTTCTTTCCCTTGACGATTTGCACGCCTTCCACGGTATGTTTTCCTCCACCACCGTTTTCCGTCTCTCCTGATAGCGCCCGGAGAGCCATGACCACACCCAGAACCTCGCTCTTGCTCATCACCGCCTGCTTTACCATAGTGTGTATCTGGATCTTCTCCAGCTTCGTGACGTTTTCAGGCGACGAGGGCGGCGGGGGCTGTCGTCCCAGATGAGACCCGCCGACTGGGGGATTTTTCCGGTATTTGGAGTAAGGGTCTTCTGGGTCGAATTTGAGTCGGATTTGCCGGGGAGGTGGGCGAGGACCGCGTTCATGGACGTAGGTCATGTACATGACGTCGTCTTGGAGGGTGTTGTAGTAATGGTCTTCGAACCGGCATGGGGCGAATTGGCGAGTTATGATGGTTGTGGGTGGGATGGGTAGTCGCGTTCGTTTGTCTCGAGGGAGATTCTTTTTTGGGGTGGGGACGAGGCCGAAACGCGCTAGGGAGGTTGCTTTGGTGTATTTTGTGACGGCCTCTATGGCGGGTTTGGCGGTCGTGGTGGCCATCTGGATTCAAGTGAGTTGAAGGCTGTCGTACAGGAATAATGCGTACCCTCAAAAGTTTTAGTTTTGGACGAAGACCAAAGATGACGGCAATATTTTCAAGGCCTTTTTGGGCCGACAGACCGGCCTACCGGATGTCGGCCGCAATCCCTGGTGTCCGAGGTTATCGTGGTCATTCACACTTTTAAGCTTGAGTTTCATGGAGCTCACGAAGTCTAACAGCCTCGCAACATGCATTAAGACCAGTGAGTTCAAGGAGCGTAGTCGTTCATTTCGTTTGTCAAACAGCGTCTGCGCCAGCGGCAGTCGGCCCTTCTCAATTTATTACGCGGCAAACTCATGTAAACAACCACAGTTGACTAGCCTGACCGTGGTCCGTAGCGATGGTAAGGATCTGACTTGTTTATTGTGTTTGTTGGACTAGGCTTTACTATCTTACTAAGATTTACTCTAGTCAACTGAGCCTCAAGAAACAGCACGTCTTCGCAGTTGATTTCCTTTCGGGCTTGCACAAATGTTGAAGGGAGGCAACTCATGGCAACCCAAAAGCCAAGACCATCGCATCTGGGAATATTTGAGGATGGGCTTGACGGTACGTTTACTTGTTCTTCCAATGCTTGCTTTCTTACTGATTGACTGCATAGATGAAGATGGCCTCAGACGATCTCAGTACTAGTTTTCGACCAGAGGTACGTACATTCCCCTTTCTTTTGTGTACCCGGCAACTAAACACTTACCCAGTCTTTCAAGGCCCCAGTATTGATGGTGGGCGAACATTGGCAAAGTCAAATTAAAGACGCTGGGAAGCGGGCTTTGGAGACGGTAAACGTGCCTTGCCCAACCCGTATTTATTTCAACGTGAATCTTTTTTTTCTTAGGTTCGGTTCGAGAACGCGATCTGGATTTGTGTCTGGTAATGCTAAAGTATGTTGTTTCCTGCTGGTCGGTTCGTTGTTGTAATGATATTTGCGCAGGCACACCCCAATGATCAAGAACCCGCCACGATACTGATGATGCGCTTGGTTGGGACTGGCATTTTGGCATGCGAGGAGCACCAAGTAGAGTTACCTTTGAGTGCACATAGGTCAGGCAAGATGTTTGGAGCGGTGTCGATGTCTGAGGGAGAATGCAGGTGGCAAAGAGAACCACAGCAGCAGCTACGGCTACTTCATTTGCATGGTACAAGGTACGTAGTAGGGAATACTTTCTTTCTCTAAACCTAATGCATGTGCAGGGATGGACAGAAGTCCGAATAGATAGCCAAAGCATAGCATATCACAGGTCGGGTTAGGTGTTAGATTGCACCCCCACTTTTTCACATTCTATCAAGTTTTGAATGATATTAACAAATTTATGAGGTCAAAAAAAAAGGCCACAGTCTTGCTGTCTCTTCGTACAAAAAGGAAAGAATCGGGGACCCGGCAACTGCCACTACTTGACTTATAAAGCAGGCTTTCACTTCCCGTTTGCTGAGACATGCTGAGACATCTCCTTTGGCTTCTTTTGTTACTCATATGTCGACCGAAAGCTTCCCAATACTGTACAAATCTCAGAAGCGGATGGTTACCTTACTTCAAGCTGGAATCCAACCCAACAAAGGTATACCATCCCTCGGTTTTTATAAGTGGTTCAACACGGGCAATTTTTCCATTGCAATCTGGTCTCCAGAGGACGGGGACATGCTTTTGATACAGCTCTGGGAGGATTGGGTTTGTGGCGGCCATCATGTAGACTTTCATAGCTACAAACACCGCTCACAGTTTGGCACACCAGATCTTTGGTCTCGGAAGGCTATCGGTACGACGATGTGGCCTTACAATGATATTGTTCCTGAGGGTACTTCTGATTCGTCTGTCTCATCTTGCTTCTTATCTTGTATAAAGGCATTTGTATCACACATCGAGGCCATCCGTACCGTGGCACGACATGGCATATCATATATTCAGATCATCAAAACTTTGTGGAAGAACTCTCTCGTACCATCACCACCAACGACCCTCCTAGTCCGGGTCCTTACGTCCCCCTTGAACTGACCGACAAGGACATACACGAAGCAGACCGCCGTTGGATTCATGGCGTGCCGATCTTTGGTACATGGCATCTAGCTTCAGATTTCCACATTCATGACACTTGCGAAAACAGGGAAATTGTGGTCTGGCAAGCGTAGTTTGAGCACGGACTGGTCCGGGGACACTATCGGTTTTTTCTCCATAGCTTCAGGAAGGGGACGCTCAAATGGTGACTCGCCACTCGATTCGGAGAGAGTCATCAATTTCCCACAGTATGTTGCAATGTATCGGTCTCGAAACCCGCAATCATGATATTTCAGCGATGTCACTTGTTCAAAGAGGGATGTCAGTATGCCTCAACATTTGCGGTAGGCTCCCCCATTTTCTCCGGCTATACACTCTGATGCTTGTCAGGGATGTGATAAAGCAGGGAGCACGACAATGGTATTTGTTTACCCCTAAATTTAATGACCGAATGGAATCGAACACTCTCGTAGGGACGACCCGGATCAACACTCACCATATTATTTTGAAGAGTCGCTGACCCTTTAGCCAACGATGGTCGATTTTTTCGTCCCAGACTTGGTAAAGGTTCTCATTCATGTGCAGCCGTCAACAATTCCTGGCTCGTGGATTGCGCAGGAGCATGAGACGGGAAAATGGGGCCTTGTTTCTAGTAAGTATTGACTGGGATAATTTGCGGTTTTAATCAGTAATTTTGATAATTAGTGAATGCGGTTCGACGTGTTGGGCTGACTCATCCTGCAGATGAATTGTAGTTTTCCTCGGTGTGGAGTTTGATTTTGGACAAAGGCAAGGATGCCGGCGGTGGGAAGGAAGGAGCCGTCGACTTCCGAAACAAATAGATGCAAGTTGCTACACTGCCACATATCGCAACTACTTGTATTATGCCCTCGCATTACTTTATATACAACAAACATATAATCAACAACTTGGAATCTAAGCCGGAGAGAGTATGTCACTTTCTTCAATGTCCGCGAAAAGAGAAGGGATACGAGGGTAAGAAGATGAGAATGTGCGGGAAATGCCAGTACATACGATATTGCGTGCGTTGAGTCTCACTGGCAATTTGGACGCGTATTTACTTACCTTTGGTAGAGCGAGGCATGTCAGAAATCCGATTGGCGTCGACACAGAGAGTATTGTCGCGAAAAGCTGCGCTTCATTGATGGGAGCGCCTGGGTTGAGGTATGTGCGAAATCCACTCTGAGTACTTCTCAGACAACGAAAGACATACAGGAACATCGATGGATATTTGAATGGGCGACTTTGGAAGCCCTTCGCGTACACACCACCGACGATCTCCTTCATAGTTTTCTGCAGCTCGATGTGATGTACGGCGACTTGACCAGGCTTGGTGGACGTCCGGAACAGACTATTTTCTTATCTAAGGCGTCTGTTACTCCGTTTTCTGAAGCGCCGTGGCTTACGAATATGGAAGTTGATAACAAGGAGGCTCAGGAGATTAGGGATAATGGAGGAACGGGTAGAGCCTTTGCGTTTGTCTGTTTTCGATGGGAGCGCGACGGGCGTATGATGGCGTTTCCTTTGAGAATTGACTTGACTGCGTTGACGACGCCTGGATATCAGCATATCTCTGCTTGGAAGCCTATTCTTTATGGTGTTGTCCGCGAACAGATTTCGATGGATGAGCTGGCCCAGGATATACTGCAAGCGGGAAGTACTACATCTTCGATGAATCTGAATGACATGGATTTTGAAGATATTATCGACGACATGGGGATGCTTTCGATGGTAAGCAGATGTGCTTGCTCTGTGTTTCGTTTCTGACAAGTTTTGTAGGATGCGTAGATACAATGGACTAAGCATGCTTATTCTATGGTAGGAACGCGGCCTTTTGAAAATATCCTTGATTGATTCGTATATGGACCAGCACTACGTAGCCAAACTGGCATTCACACCTCTAACACATTGGAAGGCTGGCCAAATCAAAACAATATGTACTATATTTTCTTGGATGGATTTGGAGAGATGCTTTCGATGGTAAGCAGATATGCTTGCTCTGTCTTGTGTTTCTGACAAGTCCTATAGAATGCGTAGATACGATGGACTATATTTACTTCGCGGTAAGAATGCATCCTTTCGAAAAATACCCTCAATTAATTCTGATATGTTGCTAGTACGGTAGCCAAACTTGCATCCACACTCAGTCTAACACACTGGAAAACTTGTCATATCAAAACAATGCACTATATTTTCTTGTGATATTATCAACGCTTCGACGAACATGGAACAACTTCTCGATATCTGCTATCATAAAGCCAGCGAGTTGAGTGATATCCTATAAACTCGCGAACTCATGCACCGGTCACGAGACTGGCACCCGAGGATTCTCAGCTTCCCAGCTTGTGCTGCAACTTACCTCTTTTGTCCGTCCGTGGCTAGGAGCTAGTCAACGCCATCATAGAACCTCGGAAGGGAACACCGAAGACTGCATCCGATCATAGGAGAATGCGAGCGACAGTCGATACCTATCTCTTCTTCCCAGTTGGATACATGACGTGACTTCTTACCACCATGTCCTATCGCCTTGTCCCGCTTCTCTTTGTTGCTTTGCGTGTATCAGCTCTATGGCCTCTCCCACAAAGCCTCTCAACAGGCTCTACACACCTCCGGCTCTCTCCTTCATTTGACATCGCGCTCTCGGGCATCGACTCTCCACCTGCAGACCTCACTGATGCGATATCGCGTACTAAACAGTATCTGTACAACGATAAGCTCCAGCGCCTGGTGGTAGGACGTGGGGCGAACGACGCCGGTGTCATTGCTAGTGCTGCGAGTCTCGAGAGGCTCACACTTGTCTTCCAAGGAAGGGAAGTGGCGAGTATCTCGAAGGAGGCGGTAGCGGAGCTGGGGACCCGCGTGGAGAGTTATACTCTCGCTATCCCTGCTGATGGGTCAGACGCTACCGTCACTGCCAACTCGACACTGGGTTTGTTCAGAGGTCTGACGACGTTTAGCCAACTGTGGTATGACTGGGAAGACACGGTGTATACTCCCGAAGCACCGGTGGATATTGTCGATGCTCCAGCTTATGTATGACGTAAAATTTTCACGTCTTTGAATCTTCTTTTCAAACATGCATCCCAGCCGTACCGTGGATTAATGCTTGACACAGCAAGAAATTTGTACGCGGTCCTCATTCTCTGAAAGTCTTTTCTACTGACTCCAATTATCAGCTTCCCTGTCTCCGACCTCAAACGCACGCTAGATGCCATGAGTTGGGTCAAGATGAGCACGTTTCATTGGCACGTAACAGACAGCCAGAGTTTCCCTCTTCAAGTTGCGAAATTCCCTGGCCTGTCCGCCAAAGGCGCCTACTCTTCTTCCATGACTTACTCTACTGCTGATATTGAGGATATCGTCGCGTATGCGGCTTCTGTACGTAATTTCTCGTGCCCCAGTGACGCTAATTGAATCATAGCTACCTAGCGCGGTATCGACGTTTTGGTCGAGGTTGATACTCCAGGGCATTCGGGCATTATTGCAGAAGCGTATCCTGATCACATTGCTTGTTCCGGGGCCACTCCGTGGCAGGACTACGCAGGTGGTGCGTCTTTTAGCTTTCTGAGCTTTCCCAGACCACTGATTGAATGGCGATCAAAGAACCCCCCGCTGGACAGCTCCGCGTCGCGTCTAGTGATACTGTGGATTTCACGGCTTCCCTGGTTTCGGCGATATCGTCCATGTTCCCTAGCAAGTATTTCTCGACTGGGGGGGATGAGATCAATTTCAATTGTTATGACCAGGATGATGTGACTCAAGCGGATCTGGCGGCGAGAGGGATCACGATTACGCAGGCTTTGGATTTTTTTACTGAGGCTACTCATGGTGCTCTGCGTGTGGCGGGGAAGACGCCGGTTGTGTGGGAGGAGATGTTGCTTGATTATAATATTACGACTCTTGGGAACGACACGGTTGTGATGGTGTGGCTCTCGTCTGAGCATGCTGCAGCTGTTGCGGAAAGAGGGTTCAAGTTCGTTCATGCGGCGTCGGATTACTTTTATCTTGATTGTGGTGCTGGGGAGATGCTCGGGAATACTGTGGATCAGAATAGTTGGTGTGATCCGTTCAAGACGTGGCAAAAGGTATCATTATCTGACCCTATTTATGCTTACCGTGACTTACCCCTCCCTTCAGGCATACTCATTCGACCCCACAGCGAACCTGACGGAGAAGCAAAGCCGGTTAGTGCTGGGTGGCCAGCAGCTCCTTTGGACGGAGCAGTCTTCTCCATCGAATCTGGATCCGATCGTGTGGCCTAGGGCTGCTGCTTCGGCGGAGGTGTTTTGGAGTGGAGGGGGAGGGAATGGGACTGAGGCACTTGCGAGGCTTCATGATGTTGGGTTCCGGTTTAGGCAGAGGGGTGTTTGGGCGATTGTTCTCCAGCCGTTATGGTGTGCTCTGAGGCCTGGTCTTTGTGATGCTTAGGATTCCTTTTTTTGATGCCTAGGACAGGTGTTTGGTTACAGCCGTTTGTACTGCTGGCGTAAGACTTCGTTGTCTATTTTCTATTAGTGCACACTGCGCTTCAATAATCGTAGCGGTAGGAAGATGACGAATAAGATGTTCCTTATGGTCGCTACTATAGTCGACGTCGTTGAGGATGAAAGCCTCTGGGCTGACGGTGGACGTGGCGAGAACTTTGGCGTAGAACTCAAAACTCCAGCGTACAAGCACTTCCAAGCAACGACATCGGGAGGAATGTCGGTATGCTCGCCAATGAAGAAACACGCATACAAACAAGACTGGAGTTGGCTCTCGCATTCATCGAATACGAAAGCTTCACCTGGTTCTGGTTAGGACTTACTCCATACCTACTTATAGTCCTCAATGTTCCCCCGCGCGGCAGGGAAGGAAACGCCATCTCAAGGGGGAGGTACCGCTGGCGGCCGTTGCTGAGCTATTGAGTATGACCGAGGTTGATGAAAATGACAGATTGAGGTATTTAGTGTATTGAAGAGTACCGGGAAATTGATCAATCTGTCATATGCATCATTTTACCTTTATGTACGTTGAGCTCACTCAATGGTCTTTTTCGCAGACCATGTCAACGGGAGAAAAGTTTACCGATAGCGCCAGGATCCTCTGCGGCGGTATCCGGACGCTGCATTCCTCAGCCATACGACTCGAATATTCAGAATGACGCGACTTTGTGCTGGAGCCTATAGCCACGGCGGTGATTGTAAGTCTGGAAGCAGCGGGCAATTTTGGGCTGTGCCAAAATGTGTTCCTGTTTTCCCCGGAGAGCGTTACCACCTCTTGTACCGGCGGTCCAGGCTTGGTAACCGACCGTTCGACCCCACATCGAAGCATTCGAGACTTGTTGGTTAAAATGCACGGCGTTGATCCGTGGTATGTTTTCAGCGCTTAAGCGGTGGTTAGGCCTGTCGAGCCTCGTCTGGATGCTCGCCGTACCCATCCGACCATCACTTGCATCAGATTTGCAAGGGTATGTCTTGAGGTATATAAACGAATATTTGCCTGACCATCTGCTCTCCAGCCACCGTTGGTTTATTCGCCTGAACTCACTCTCTGCACTCCTCAGTTATTCTTAATTAACGTTAACGTTAAATCCTCATCAACATCATGTACTACACATACTTGGCTCGCCGAAAGGTTCGTCGTCTCCCGCTTTATGTGAGCATTTTACGTTTATATTGATGGTCTTTTTGTTCCAGTCCCTTGCTATTTGGGTCGGTCTGCAGACGAGCCTTGCTAGTTTCGTATATTATCGGTACCGGACACCTAAAAGGTTCGTTTCTACGTCGGTGCTAGCGTTTCGAGTTACTGATGCCGTCTTGCAGTCTGACCGACTCTTCCCTCTCATCAAGATTGGAGCAGCTTAAAGCTGTACCCATGACGCACTAATCTGCACGTCGACATCATCGGGATGTTTTAATCCTTACTATCACTTTGACTCCGGGAGATCAATATGACTCGGGAGGTATGACAAGAATGGACTAATTTATTTTATTGTACTTGCAATGGTGTATATACGTATGAATACGTACGTTTAGGATGGCGGATAATTCGAAAGCATAACGAAAGTTTCGAAAACTTGGCATGAAGCTCCCATAATAGGAAGGGCGATGTACTGATGGCGCTTCGACGCCTACCACCACTATCTCATGCTCAGCTGCCATTAGTAGCACTTTCGTTATGGGCACCCAAACGACGAATAGTCGTTCTAATCTCCGGCTCAGGTACTCTAAATTCTGATGTTGCACTAATATCGTGTCTGAGCTAAAAATCCCAACGCAGGTACAAATCTGCAAGCTCTCATCGACGCTCAGAACACCCCGGCCCTCCCAAACGTGGAAATCTGTCTCGTCTTATCGAACCGAAAAGCGGCATATGGTCTCACCAGAGCAGCACAAGCCAACCCACCCATACGAACGGCATACCTGGCTCTCCAAACCTTCCTCAAGACTAACCCAGGCAAGACACGGACTGACTACGATATCGAAATCGCAAAAATCGTCCTTCAGGAAAAGCCTGATCTCGTTGTGTTAGCAGGGTGGATGCACGTTCTCGGGGAAGGATTCCTGGACTTGGTGTACACGGACGAGAGGTCGATTCCGGTGATCAACCTCCATCCTGCGCTTCCTGGAGAATTCGATGGAGCTAGTGCTATTGAGAGAGCGTATGAGGCGTTTCAAAAGGGAGAGATTACTCGTTCTGGGGCTATGGTGCATCGAGTAGTCAAGCAGGTTGATCGGGGAGAGCCAATTGTCGTCCGGGAGATACCGTTTGAGGAGGGTGAGGTGATAGAGGCGTATGAGGAGCGACTGCACAAGGTCGAGTGGGAGATCATCGTGATGGGTGCGAAGATGGTTCTGGATGAAGTAGAAGCAGTTTGTGAGCTCAGTCTTTTCGTTGCTTTGATTTGTGCACTGATAGCCTGGTAGGACGTTATCAATGTATACAGTATTATACAAAACTTGTATGAAACGCGTCGTAGCTGACCGTCTCGGCCATATAGACGAAAGGTCACACTTGAGCCAAGCAAACCCATGTCCCAGACTCAGACCAAACATTTACACAGAAATTTACCGTTACGCGTAACACCGCTCTCAATTGATGACCGCGTCCTTTCATTAACAACATTTCGAGAACGTCTCCGGTCTCGGGATGTTGACGACTACTGTGACCCTTCGCTTCCCTAGATAACGTACGTGCGCACACCTTGGCATCTACTGCTTGCATTATAAGCGTAGCCGAGACCTTTTCTCTTTCCCTGCCTACCGAGCCCCGACGGTATCCAATCAAGGGTACTTAGAATGCATCTGGGCTGAACCATAGTATTTACCGGAATATGGCGGACTCTTGACTTCTCAGGCAGCTAATAGTAAAGTCAGGGAGCAGACTGAAAACTGTTTTGGTTTTGTGGCTCATATCAGACCGGATGATCATATTGGAATATTCTATCCCGAGACGGCGATGGGACCTAGTATGTTCTTTCTGGTGGAACTTAACGACAATTCGCCAGATGCTTTGGGACGGCCACAATATCTATGGATAGCGCTAAGCGGTTAAAGTCGTGGTTGGCCAGGCGAGTGGGCTCAATTCCTTCCAGATAAAACAGTACGTGGACGCTGTTACTCCCAAATATTTCTTAAAGAAGTACGCTGTGAGTTCTGTTTGTTTCATGAATAAATAGTTCTGGTCTGATTATCGTTTCCACTTAGGACTACTACGGACACGGGCATCGATCCGATCGAGGGCAATGATTGAAGGAATCACAGAGCCTAATATGTGTCCGGAGGGTGGGAAGTATAATGTTCTTCGTGTGCTTGCAGGATTTCCGGAGCAGTTTGAAGAGGGTCATCTTCTGGCTACCTTGAGGATGGACCAGCTAAAGTGTCCGTCGCAATCGACGAACCCTGAACAGTTCATAGAGATGATGGCGGAATGGTTGAAGAAAGATACTTGGTCTCCGCCTAGTATTTATTAGAGCAAATCATTAAAACGTATTTGAAAATTCGACTCGAAAATATATCCTTGGCGTGCCGTAAAAATACGAGTAAACTGCTGCGCTTTGTCTATTCACGTTCATCTTGTCTGATCCCACAACTTGCTAAGAATCTTAGCATCGTCTGTGAAGGTGCCAGCGTGGTAAAAGTGACATCCCCTTAATGCTTCAGCACCTTGGAGTTGAAGGCCGGATTTGGACATGTCATAATCCCGAGCGCTTTCCGGCGTTCCCCGTTCCCTGCTTTCCTCTTACCACGTATCTGAGCGCTTGTCACTGCTGCTATCCGCTATGCCTCACTTCACTCTACTCTAAGGGCTTGCTCGATGACCCCAGTTCCTATGATAACGACAGTTCAAGCAAATAGCGGAAGTAAATCACATTTGGACATCGCTTAAATGGCACCCTTTTCTACCCGCCCATCGCGACTTATGTCGCGTTCCGTCCAGATAATTCTGGGAAGAGATATAGTTGAGTCGCCGGAGCACACAGACTCGGACAACAGCGACAGTGACAGTGATAGCGACGATGCTCGTTCTGACGGGACAATTGAGGACATCGACTCCTATCCGAGATGGGGACTGGGTCACCCGCTGCAGCGCATGGTTCGCATAGAAAGCAGCGACGACGACGCGAGCTCGTATTACAGAAGCGGTTGGTCGTCGTGTGATTCGGAGTCGGACTCGTCCACTTCGACTAGCTCATCTGTCGTCTACGATATGTACGTCCTGTGTCGTATCTCCTGCTATCCTAGGGTGTTTATTTTTTTACTGCGCAGCGACTACGAGAACCTTATCGATGACCTGCTGTTGAAGGATCCTGGCCTTTACGAAACCAACAGTCTCGTGCGTGGTATACATGTTACTGCAATATGGCACTGACACCGCTTTAATGCCGCTTCTGTATAGGTCATGGTGGAACCATCTACTCCTACATCCAATGACTCCCTTATGATAAAATCGCTGTCGCGAACTTCTCCAGAGCTCTTCCTTCTTCTGGAATTTAATCATCCAGAGTATCGCACGGATCCCTGGAATCCCTTTCCCCACATCCTTTGCGCCGTGGAGCGCGACGAGAAAGTGTTCCTATGCTTGCAGCGGTTGTTCCAATTCGACAAACCTCCGTTTCGAAATGTGGCCAACTACCTGGACTTTTTCAGGCAGTCACTAGAGGTGAGTGTTAACAGCTGAGCTTGATGAACCAACATTCACATGGTCGGCAGGGCCTCACGTTTCTTCATGAACATTACATATCTGAACTGTCGTGCTTCAACCTTGCCTCGTTCATGGTAGACATTGGTGCTGGCACCTGTTCTCCTACGGTGGAGCACTTTGACCGCTCCAGATTACCTGTCAAGTACTACTATGCCGACCTCTCCTCTGCCGTACAGGATACGGGCCACTCGAAGGCAACCTATATAAAAGATGTCAAGGAATGTGGAGCGATGATCGACCGGCTGCTCTTCAACGTATGTCTCCTGGAAACGCGTAGAATCTTTTCTCACGAATACTACAGTTACCCAAGATCGGACCCAAACTCAAATCTTTGGTCAATGCGATGACTTCTGGTGGATTCGGCGCCGATGATGCGAGGAAGCTATTTTGAAGCGCTTTGCAAGTCCTTAGAATCATCCGTGTTTCGACCTCCCAGTTCCACCGCGCGACTTGAGCACGCCTTTGAATGCGCCCTCGATGACACGTAACACGATCGCACCCATATCACGAATAATTACGACGCTAGCACGGTAACGCTGGTTCCGCCACCCCCAGATCACTAGAT